GAGATATCATCGTAGTTCAACTGTGCTGACCGCCGCTGTGTTGACATCGCCGGATGACCCATCCGCTTTTAGACCAACCGTCTAGGGATTACATCTGAATCATAACAATTTTAATAACCTTATCCAATTACTATTACCATCATCCTTGTGAGAGTGTGATTACATATCACTACCTCAGTTACCCCTTGGTTGTCGTTTGCTGCTAATTTGATCAAGAACGCAATAGCACTTTAAGGCGCCTGCCACTGCTGCTAAATTATACCAGCACTACGCCCCCATCCTTTTCCTCTATGCCGCACTTTAGTTAATTGAGAGAACCAGTTTGGGTATCTATTGCACTTAGATCTTGCACTTTATGTACTGCACCTTAGATCTTGCACTTTATGTATGTGCCCAACGGTACGCAGTATGTTGTTGATTGAGTGATATTACTGACTGGGTGGCATTTAAGTCTCTTGCACTTTACGAACTGTTTAACTGGTGTGGCTGAACGCCTAGCCCCACCTGAATCTATTGTTATCCATGTGGCTCCCCATCCCCCTATTTGTTCTGTCCCTGTTACTGCTGACTAGTGGAGGGGGCAGGGGAGGAGGAGGGCTGGAGCCTGTGAACAAGGATGGGGCGGGGAGGGGGGAGGAGGGGAGGCAAGGGAGATGGCAAAGGCCAACAATCCAAACTTCGAGCGATATTGGAAATAAGACCTTGGTGCTGGACTGCGGCATGGAGGAGGGGAGGTGTTCCACTAGCCGAGGGGCCCCCATAGAGGTCGTGGTGGGGAGGAGGAGATGCGGTAAAAGGAGACCTCAAATTCGGCTTAATTCGGACCGCTTACCAACATTTGTTTTTTTATTTGTTTTGTTTTATTAAAAGGCTGGTATTAAAAACAAGGAGAAACAAAAAAAAAATTAGGAGTAAAAAAAAAGGAGGACAAAAGGAGAGGAACGAGAGGGAGAAGGAATGGCCGTGAAGTACCCCAGAAGGAGTACGAATTTTCGTAAACAAGGAGCAAAGATAGGAGGGGGAGGGAGAGCAGAAGGAAGTCGAGAAGGCCGGACCGATGAGACCTTTCAAGAGAAAGGCAACGAGGAAGGAAGGGGAAAAGGACAGCGAAAAAGCTGATGACCTTTTTTTCGGTCACCAAAAATTCGGTGGGGCCTCTAAATTAGGATAATTTGTATGGTATGCTATATTTATTCTTTTTCGGGACCCGCCTTCTTTATTTTTTTCCACCAACACTATTCATTTTTGTAACAACTCCCCCCCCCCCTAAAAACGGTTCCTCTCGGCACTCTTAAGGGCGGTGGTTTTATTATGTTTTGTGATGGTGTAACAAGTGTGAGCCGGCTGAGGCGGGCCCCCCCCCGCCCTCCCGCCCCTGCACCTCTCTCTTCCGGATTGGTGTGTTTGAAGGGTGCGTTTAAACATATCGGCTAGGTGTATGCTGGTGCTAGTGATCGAACGCCCAGGTCTTTGAGCGGTTCTTGTTCAACGGAAAAAAAATCACAAAAAGAAGAGAAATAAAAAAAAAACGAAAAAAACACCGACTCTGCGTGGATTCCAGGATCTTTTTTTAATCCTGGATGATCGAGCTGGGGCCAGGTGGCAGAGCAGCAGGGCCGGCAGCAGAGAGATGAACTGGCGTGTTTTTTGCATTACGGGGACTGTTTGCATTTACGGAGAAGATGGCGTTGCATTTACCGGAGACCCCTTTTTTGTTGCGTTTGCATTGTTTGTGGCTGTTTTTTGCTTCAGATTCCTGTCGTGGGATTTAATGAGCGGGCAGCAGGGGCATGATCTGGGCAGATGATAGAGGGGGGGGGGCAGATCTGGCGTGTTCTATGTGACGTGCATTCATCTGGGGGGAAGGGGGGGCAGATGAAGACGGGCGGACGGCAGAGGGGGCAGATCAGATCTGGCGTCTAGTGGCATTACGGACGGAGATTCTTCTGGGTGGTGCTGCTGGCCAGATCTGTCAACGCTTTATCCAGGATCTAATCCTGGATGAGCGGGCAGATCTGGCGTGCATTACGGAGACCTGGCTGGATGAAGCTGGGGGCGTAAATCTTACCCAGCTTTGTCCTCCAGGCTTCTCCGTACAGCACCAACCGAGATCCGGAGGACGGGGAGGCGGGGTCGCAGTGGTCTATAGAGATTCCATCCATCTGACCAGGAGTCCCATCCCGCAGACCACAAATTTTGAATGCGTCCACCTGAGGGTGGGTGACCGGGACAGAATAGGGATTCTGTTAGTGTACCGTCCACCTCGCTGCACTACAGTCTCCCTACCTGAGCTAGCGGGGGTGGTCTCGAGCCTGGCGTTGGAGTCTCAACGGCTTCTTGTGCTGGGGGACTTCAACATCCATGCCGAGGCGACCCTCACAGGAGCGGCTCAGGACTTCATGTCCGCCATGGCAACCATGGGGCTGTCCCAACAAATATCTGGCCCCACCCACTGTGCTGGACATACATTGGACTTGGTTTTCTGCCAGGGATGGGAGGGGTGGCGGTGTGGAGGAGCTGTCTATCTCTCCGTTGCCATGGACTGACCACTTCCTGATCAGATTTAGGCTCACTGCGCCCCCTAACCTCTGCAAGGGTGGAGGACCCATTAAGATGGTCCGCCCCAGGAGGCTTATGGATCCGAATGGATTCCTGACGGCTCTTGGGGATTTTCCCGCCACCTCGGTAGGTGACCATGTCGAGGCCTTGGTCGCTCTCTGGAATGGGGAGATGACCAGGGCAATTGACATGATCGCTCCGGAGCGTCCCCTCTCAAGTAGCCGAGCTAAACCAGCCCCTTGGTTTACTGAGGAGCTGGCAGTGATGAAGCGAAGGAAGAGGGAACTAGAGAGCGTGTGGCGTTCGGATCCAAGCGAGTCAAACCGAGCACGGTTTGTGTCCTTTCTTAGGGCATATGCCGCGGCAATAAAGGCCGCAAAGAAAATTTTTTTGCGGCCACTATTGCGTCTGCAAAGAACCGTCCGGCGGAGTTGTTTCGGATTGTCAGAGGTCTTTTAACTCCCGCCACTTCAGGCGGGAGCCCTGACAATTCGGTCACGCGCTGTGAAGCATTTGCTCGGTTCTTTGCAGACAAAGTCGCTTTGATCCGTTCTGGGCTGGACACCATGTTAAATGCAGTCTCTGAGGATGTGACACGAGCTGCTTGTCCTATTTTGATGGATTCTTTTCAATTTGTGAAACCCGAGGATGTGGACAAGATACTTGGAGGAATGAGGCCCACCACGTCCATCCTAGACCCCTGCCCATCCTGGCTTCTGAAGGAGGCCAGAGGGGGATTGGCTGAGTGGGTAACGGTGGTGGTTAATGCCTCCCTTCGGGAAGGCAAGATTCCAGCGTGCTTAAAACAAGCAATTATAAAACCGCTGTTGAAGAAACCATCACTGGACCCCACTAAATTTGACAACTTTCGGCCTGTTTCCAATCTCCCCTTTTTGGGCAAAGTCATGAAAAGCGTGGTGGCCTCACAACTCCAGGTATTCTTGAGAGACACGGATATTCTGGATCCGGCACAGTCTGGTTTCAGACCGGGACATGGTACCGAGACGGTCTTGGTCGCCTTAGTGGATGATCTGCGCCGGGAGCTAGACAGGGGGAGTGTGTCCCTGTTGGTGCTCCTGGACTTCTCAGCGGCCTTCGATACCGTCGACCACGGTATCCTTCTGGGGCGCCTTGCGGAATGGGTCTTGGGGGCACTGCTTGCAGTGGCTCCACTCATTCCTGGAGGGACGCACCCAGAAGGTGTTATTGGGGGACTCCTGTTCTGCCCCACAACCTTTGACTTGTGGGGTTCCACAGGGTTCCATACTGTCCCCCATGCTGTTTAATATCTACATGAAGCCGCTGGGTAAGATCATCCGGAGTTTCGGGGTGCGGTGTCATCTGTACGCAGATGATGTCCAACTCTGTCACTCCTTTCCACCTGCTACTAAGGAGGCTGTCGAGGTCCTGAACCGGTGCCTGGCCGCTGTAATGGTCTGGATGAGGGCGAACAAACTGAAATTAAATCCAGACAAGACAGAGGTACTCCTGGTCAGTCGCAAGGCCGAACAGGGTATAGGGTTACAGCCTGTGCTGGATGGGGTCGCACTCCCCTTGAAGGCGCAGGTTCGCAGCTTGGGTGTGACCCTGGATTCATCGTTGAGCCTGGATCCCCAGGTTTCAGCGGTGACCAGGGGAGCATTTGCACAGCTTCGGCTCGTGCGCCAGCTGCGCCCGTATCTCGGGAAGTCTGACTTGGCCACGGTGGTACACGCTCTGGTCACATCCCGGCTTGACTACTGCAACGCTCTCTACGTGGGGCTGCCCTTGAAGACGGCCCGGAAGCTTCAGCTGGTTCAGCGCGCGGCAGCCATGTTACTAACTGGAGCAGGACGCAGGGAGCACACAACGCCCCTGTTGTTCCAGCTCCACTGGCTGCCGATTTGCTACCGGGCCCAATTTAAGGTGCTGGTGTTGGCCTACAAAGCCCTAAACGGTTCCGGCCCAAAATACCTTTCTGACCGCATCTTGGCCTATGAGCCCACGAGGGACCTTGAGATCGTCTGGGGAGGCCCTTCTCTCGATCCCGCCTGCCTCACAGGCACGCCTGGCGGGGACGAGAGAGAGGGCCTTCTCAGTGGTGGCCCCCCGGTTGTGGAACACTCTCCCTACAGACATCAGGCAGGCGCCCTCTCTTTTGTCCTTCCGAAAAAGCCTCAAGACGTGGCTGTTCGAGAGGGCATTTAATTAAGTGCTATAGTAATGTGGTAAAGACGACTGGAATGGTACAAGGAATACGAGATTGGTCACGATTCTATTACGAGACGAAGCGGATTAGTTAGTGTAATTTTAACTGTTGTATTGTTGTATGGTTAATATGCTGTTGTACTTGTCTTTGTGTGAATTGCCTTTTGTACTGTACACCGCCGTGAGTCGCCCGAGTGGGCTGAGAATGGCGGTTAATAAATGCTCCAAATAAATAAATAAAATAAATAAATAAATTATAAGTTTGTGTTATTATTTTGTATTATTTTAAAGATCTTAGTATTCACATAGGGTATTAAATGTTTGATTTTTTTTTGTGTGTGTAAACCACCCTGAGTCCCCTTGGGGAGAGACGGCGGTCTATAAATAAAGTTTTATTATTATATTATATATCACTCAGAGCGAAACTCTTTCCACACTGCAGGAATTTATAGGGTTTCTCCCCTGTGTGGATTCTTTGATGTGTACGTAGAGTTCCATTCTCAGTGAAGCTCTGTCCACACTCCAGGCATTTAAAGTGTTTCTCTCCAGTGTGAGTCCTCTGATGTTTACGTAGGTGTGCATTCTGAGAGAAGCTCTTTCCACACTCCAGGCATTTAAAGGGTTTCTCCCCAGTGTGAGTCCTTTGATGTGAACGTAGATGTGAATTCTGAGTGAAGCACTGTCCACACTCTAAGCAATTATAAGGTTTCTCCCCAGTGTGAGTCCTCTGATGTTTACGTAGGTGTGCATTCTGAGAGAAGCTCTTTCCACACTCCAGGCATTTAAAGGGTTTCTCCCCAGTGTGAGTCCTTTGATGTGAATGTAGATGTGAATTTTGAGCAAAACTCTGGCCACACTCCAGGCATTTAAAGGGTTTATCCCCAGTGTGAATTCTTTGATGTGAACGTAGATATTCCTTTGCAGTGAAGCTCTTTCCACACTCCAGGCATTTAAAGGGCTTCTCCCCAGTGTGTGTCTTTTGATGTGAACGTAGATATGAACTTCGAGCAAAACTCTGGCCACACTCCAGGCATTTAAATGGTTTCTCCCCAGTATGAGTCCTTTGATGTGAACGTAGGATTGTACTCCGAGTAAAACTCTTTCCACACTCCAGGCATTTAAAGGGTTTCTCCCCAGTGTGAGTCCTTTGATGTGAACGTAGATATGAACTTCGAGCATAACTCTGGCCACACTCCAGGCATTTAAAGGGTTTCCCCCCAGTGTGAGTCTGCTGATGTGAATGTAGATGTGAATTCTGAGTGAAGCTCTTTCCACACTCTAGACATTTAAAGGGCTTTCCCCCAGTGTGTGTCTTTTGATGTGAACGTAGATTTGAACTCGAAGTAAAACTCTGGCCACACTCCAGGCATTTAAAGGGTTTCTCCCCAGTGTGAGTCTTTTGATGTGAACGTAGAAGTGAACTCAAAGCGAAACTCTTTCCACACTCCAGGCATTTATAGGGTTCTTCTCCATTGTGAGTCCTTTGGTGTGAACTTAGAAGTGAACTCAAAGCAAAACTCTTTCCACACTCCAGGCATTTATAGGGTTCTTCTCCATTGTGAGTCCTTTGATGTCTACGTAGAGTTCTATTCTGAGTGAAGCTCTGTCCACACTCCAGGCATGTATAGAGTTTCTCCCCAGTGTGAGTCCTCTTATGTGAACGTAGGTCTTTACTCCAAGCAAAACTCTTTCCACACTCCAGGCATTTATAGGGTTTCTCCGGCATATCAACAGTAATAAGGGTGTTTATTGCAATACAGATACTTGACTCCTTTTTTCTTTCTTATCTGTGGGATCAAGAATTCTGCAAGATCATCACCTTGAGAGGATTTTTTCTTCCTATATTATTGGTTTCTTTACTGCATTCAAGCGGTGGCTCCATAGAATCCTCATTTACCTGGTTACAAAAGAAGTGAAAGATTATTATTATTATTATATTGATTTATAGCCCGCTTTATCTCTCCTCACGAATACGCAAAGCAGCTGAACATAAAACATCAGCATACAGTTTAAAGCATAAAATATGCAGACATTAAAACAGAATTAAATATAAATGGTATTTAAGAATTCCCAGATAAAAAGGTTAGAAACCACAACACCCCCTGAATTGATCTTTAAAATCTTCTTCTTTAAAAGCCTGCCTGAATAAAAAAGGTTTTAGCCTTCTGCAGTAAGGAAAACAGGAAGGAGGGGGCCATTTTGGCTTCCTTGAGGAGGGAGTTCCAGAGTTGAGGGGCAGACACCGAGAAGGCCCTCTCTCTCATTCCCACCAGCCAAGCTTGAGATGGAAGTGAGACCAAGGGAAGGGCCTCTCCTGAAGAACTCAGTGAGCAGGAAGATCGATATAAGGCAGTGTTTCCCAACCAAGGGGGCGGGGCCCTTGGGGGGCAGCAAGGGGGCTTTCAGAGGGGCCACCAAAGACCATCATAAAACACATATTTCTGATAGTTTTAGGAAGCCTTTTGAAGATATCTCCGCCTGACCTTCTCTTCCTTTTTGGTGTTTGTGAACTACAACTTCCAGAATTCAAAAACAGCCCCCCAATGCCATCAGTATTCAATGTTGGCCATGTAGGTAGTGCGCCAAGTTTGGTGCAGATCCATTGTGGGCTGGGTTCAGAGTGCTCTTTGATTGTAGGTGAATCCCAGTAACTACAACTCCCAAATGCCAAGCTCTATTCTCCCCAAACTCCGCCAGTGTTCACATTTGAGTATACTGAGTATGAGTACCAAATTTGGTCCAGATCCATCACAGCCTGAGTCCACAGTCCTCTCTGGATGTAGGTGAACTACAATACCAAAACTCAAGATCAATGCCTACCAAACCCTTCCAGTATTTGCTGTTGGTCATTGGAGTTCCGCGTGCCACATTTGGTTGAATTCCATTGTTGGTGGAGTTCAGAATGCTCTTTGATTGAAGGTGAACTATAAATCCCAGCAACTACAACTCCCAAATGACAAAATTAACCCCCCCCCCCAACCCCACGGGTATTCATATTTGGGCAGTGAAGATCATTGCCACCTGGAAACTGATGTCCTCAGTGTGGGGGAAACTTGTGGGTCAAGACCAAGGCTCCACAGCCATCTGCAGACCCACCGCCAAGACACCACATCTGGAAGACCATCGTCCTCGAACAACAAGGCATTGCCTAATAAGTAAGTAAATTTGGGCATATCGGGTATCTGTGCCAAATTTGGTCCAGTGAATGAAAACACATCTTGCATATCAGATATTTACATTGTCAGGTTTATTGAAAGGATGTATGTCTGTTTTTCAATGTGTTTCAATATGTATAACAATATGAGTTCATATGTATTCAAAATGAATTCAGTTATGTTCGACTGGATGCTAGAATTGTGGTCACTAGAGGCAGAGAGAGTAAAGACCTTGGCAGAAGTTAGATAAGAAATTTTCCTTTGCTGGAAGAAAAAGGGAGGATTCAGCCAACGTATACCATGCAGCTGTGGACAAGTCTACATAGGGACCACCAAATGCAGCATTGCCCAAACACGAATCAAGGAACATGAAAGGCACTGCAGACTCCTTCAACCAGAGAAGTCAGCCATAGCAGAGCACCTGATGAACCAGCCTGGACACAGCATATTATTTGAGAACACAGAAATGCTGGACCACTCTAACAACCACCATGTCAGACTACACAGAGAAGCCATGAAATCCAGACAAGCATGTGGACAATTTCAACAGAAAGGAGGAAACCATGAAAATGAACAAAATACTGGCTACCAGTATTAAAAAACTCTACAATTACAACAGCAAAACAGCAGAGAGGAAACAACCAGGCACATCTTAACACCTCTCAACAAAAGATTTCCCAGGCTCAGCCAGGCCTTCAAATGCTAATGAAGGTGGTCAGTTGAAACATTCACAACTAGCTCCAGCAGAGAAGAGCTCTTTGCCCCACCCCAGCCATTCCACAGATATATAAACCCATTGTCCTAGTTCCAACAGACCTCACTACCTCTGAGGATGCTTGCCATAGATGCAGGCGAAACGTCAGGAGAAATGCCTCTAGAACATGGCCATATAGCCCGTGTCAGCTCACAACAGCCGTTCCCAATAACGACACAGGACTCCAGATCTGTCACTCCTTCTCACCTGTCACCAAGGAGGCTGTCCAGACCTTGAACCGGTGTTTAGCTGCTGTATCGGACTGGATGAGAGCTAACAAATTGAAATTGAATCCAGACAAGACAGAGGTCCTACTGGTCAGTCGTAAGGCCGAACAGGGCATAGGGTTACAGCCTGTGTTAGACGGGGTTACACTCCCCCTGAAGACGCAGGTTCGCAGCTTGGGAGTGATCCTGGACTCATCGCTGAGCCTGGAACCCCAGGTCTCAGCGGTGGCCGGGAGAGCTTTTGCACAATTAAAACTTGTGCGCCAGCTGCGCCCGTACCTTGGGAAGTCAGATCTGGCCACGGTGGTCCACGCTCTTGTTACATCCCGGTTGGATTACTGCAACGCACTCTACGTGGGGTTGCCTTTGAAGACTGCTCGGAAACTTCAACTAGTCCAGCGAGAAGCAGCCAGATTGCTCACTGGAGCGGCGTACAGGGAGCACACCACCCCCCTGTTGCGTCAGCTCCACTGGCTGCCGATCCAATTCCGAGCACAATTCAAAGTGCTGGTTTTGACCTACAAAACCCTATACGGTTCCGGCCCAGTGTATTTGTCCGAACGGATCTCCCTCTACGTCCCACCTCGAAGCTTAAGATCTTCTGGGGAGGCCCTGCTCTCGACCCCGCCACTGTCACAAGTGAGGCTGGCGGGGACGAGGACTCTACCTCTCTCTCTTTTTTTTTTCTATCACAAGTGAGGCTGGCGGGGACGAGGAGCAGGGCCTTCTCAGTGGTGGCCCCCACCTGTGGAACTCACTCCCCGGGGAGATTAGATCGGCATCCCTTTCCTTTAGGAAAAAACTGAAGACCTGGAAAAGATTAGATCGGCAACTTCCCTTCTGGCGTTTAGGAAAAAACTGAAGACCTGGGTGTGGGACCAAGCCTTTGGTCATTCTGACAACTAAACTAAGGATCTGACGATAGACAAGGACAAATGGAATGGAATGAAATATGGACTCTGAACCCTGAGCATGAGATTGTTTTAGCATGAGATTGTTTTATTATCTTATTATGTATTGATGTTTTAATTAATTGTTGAATTGTTTTGTATTTTGTATTACTTGTCAATTGATTTGGGCATCTAATTGTGCCCCCACTGTAAGCCGCCCTGAGCCCCCCCCCCCCCGGGTGAGAAGGGCGGGGTATAAGTAAGTGAAATAAATAAAATAATAAATAAAAGAAAGCCGGGACTGACCAGCAGCCGCTGGTCATCCCTTTTATACACTCCCCCACATTTGAAAACCCTATTCCCGCCAAGCTGTGATTCCCGTGCAATGCTCCCACCAAATGCCAACTGCTTTCCCCCGAGGTCACCAGCTGCACCGTCCTTATCAAAGTCCTATGTCAGGACCCTGGTTTTTAGCGCCAAAGTCGAAGGCCTGGAAACCGGTTCCTCACAGCCTGAAAAAACCCAGAAGAACCGATTGATTCCAGCCATGAAAGCCTTCGACAGTACATTAAACTGGAAACTGTTTGTGTGCTGTGTGCTGTGCTTTTGTAGTTTTGTCTTCAAGATGTAGCCTGTTTGGAACTAGACGTGTAGAGATGTGCTTAGTAAAGACTTTGTTATTTTGAAACTGGAAAACTGCAGTTTGTCCTGATTTGCGTCTGTGTGATCTGGTAACCTCAATTCCGCTGTGCATAGACCCCCGGGGTCTCACTCTGATATACATTACGATTCATAACAGTAGCACCTGGAATCACACTGGGTCTAGTTCTGGGCCGCACCGTTCAAAAGAGAGATGGACTCTAAGCTGGAAGGTGATCAGAGGAAGAGGGAGACTCAAAGGACGAAAGGCCTGGAGACCAGAAATCATCCCTCTGAAGTGGAGCGCCTGAAAGAGCTGTTCAGCCACAGAAGAGAAGGTTGGGAGGAAAAGACATGGAAGCCATGCACAAATACGTGAAAGGGTGTCCTAAGGAAGAGGGAGAGGCTTCCTTCTGCTGCCCTGGAGACGAGGACTCCATGGAGCCATGGGTTCAAGTGACAGGAAAGAATGGAGGTTCCACCTGAACATGAGGAAGAACTTCCTGGCCACGTGGAGACCTGTTCAGCAGTGGAACTCTCTCCCTCACTGCAACCCCACACTCCAATAATGATGGACCTGGTCTAAACTTGGGACACAGAATCCAGATGACCAGTGTTACATCCTGGTAAGGTTTGGGGGGGGGGGTGGAATATGGACAATGCGATTTGCAGTCCCTTCACCTGCCTCCAGGAACCACTGCGAACCCCACCAATTATTTTATTTATTTATTTATTTATTTATTTATTTCGTGTGCTTCTACTGCGACCCCCGAGGGGGGACTCAGGGCGGCTTACAAAAAGGCACAATTTGATGCCTACACGTAATACAGATAAAATATAGACAGCAATTAAAACAGTTGTAACAGTTAAAAACAATCACTATATATCACAGTCAATAAAAAACCAATCTTATGCTCAACGTTCGCCACTCAGAGTCCATAACTTCATTCCACATTTTCCATTCCTATCAGTCGTCGTGGTCTTTTATTTATCTGCCAGATTGCCCAAACGCATGGTCCCAAATCCATGTCTTTAATTTCCTTCTAAAGGAAAGGAGGGATGACAATGATCTAATTTCCCCGGGGAGTGAATTCCATAGGTGAGGGACCACCACCGAGAAGGCCCTGCTCCTTGTCCCCGCCAATCTCACTTGTGATAGAGGCGGGGCCGAGAGCAGGGCCTCCACAGAAGATCTTAGACTCCGAGGTGGGACGTAGAGGGAGATGCGTTCGGACAGATACACTGGG